CTCTTAAACCATAACCCAAAGTAACAAACCGTTTGCTGGATCTTACAAAAAAATGTGCTTAACAAAACTAGATCCAATATAGATTTATTTTATTATTTTTACAATGAGTTACATCTATGTGTATTACTGATTGCAACTCCGTATACTACCGAGTTACAACTAGTTATAACTTTGTGTAACTTTTGCATCCGGTCTTCATAACCGGATTCAGTTGCAATTCAGAGTTGGCATCATATCTGATTGTAACCAGAGTAGCAATTGGGTTGCAACTGTGTAGTAACGGGTTATATGTACAACTATGTAGTAACCAGCTCTATACAGAATGCACCCAGGCCGGTAAGCGAGTCAGAGCGAACTAACTAGTATGCATGCACCCGAGACAACCAATAGTTAATTTGCTACTTCTCACCACTCATGGTTAGCCACGTGCAACAAATACAACTAGCAGCCAGCATGCATGCATGGATGGAATATTTTGTAAGTTCGATTCTTTGAAATAAATTTTCTCCTAAACCGTAACCCCGATTAACAAATCGTTTGCTGCATCTTACTCAAAAAATGTGCTTAACAAAACTAGATCCAATATTAGTATATTTTATTATTTTTATAAGGAGTTGCATCTCTGTGTGTTACTGATTGCAACTATGTAGCAATTGGGTTGCAACTATGTAGCAACTGGTATACAAACGGAGTTGCAACTTGACCCGTCGAGGCAGCCGTAAAGTAGCCTACCCAACCAGATTCCAACGGCCTATCACGGGACCCATCGACACATAACGCACAAAGCTTAGTTGGTACATGCATGCATGGTAGCAGACAGAGCTAGCATGCGCTTCTTAGATGCTTGTCACTGGCCTGGCTCTCATTTAGTTTTGTTCATCGGTTCATCCATGGATTCGCGGTCGTCTCCAACTGCTGCCTAGTGTTGTAGTTGTACTGATTATAGAGATCAGATAGATTCCCTGCTCATATGTTTGATCAATGCGGATGCGTGTGATGCCTGGCCTGCCTGTCGAGACACACCGCATGCATTCCCAGTAGTGTTATTTGCTGCAAGCAACTCCCGTGTATGCGTGCCTGACTATTTTAGTTTTTTTTCCTTTTTCTTTTTTTTCCTTTGGGTGAAGTTCTTTCCTTCTCTTTCTCTCACCCTATACATCATTTGTACGCGAAGTCCCTGAGGATGGCTCAATGCTTTGTCAAGTGGAAATAGAACTACCATTGACACACTTTTCTTGCTCCCTGCAGCAAATTTTCTTCTGAGCACACCCACAGCCAACCCAAACATCTGCCTATGAGCAAGCAGCTTTACAAGCAATTTTGTGCCAGCGTCGTCCGGTGCACAAGGAATGAAGGAACGTGAGCTGCTGAGCCAACCTGAGACAGTTCATTGAAAATGTTTCTTCTACCTGCTTGCTTGCTTATTTACTGTACATGAGTTCATTGAAAATGTTTCTGCTAAATAGGCTACGACCAAGTTACAATTGTGTTGCAGACGTGCTTGCAACTCATTGTACAACTTAGTTGCAATTACATACTTTTAAAAACTTTTAACAAATATAGCCTTCATGGATCTCATTTTATTAAGCACATTTTTTCGAAGAACCTACTTCAAACCGATTCAAAAAAGGATCAATGGTTTAGGAGATATCACATTTTTTGGAATCGAATCAAGAAAAGATTCCATCCATGCATGCTTCCTGGTGGGTGGGTTAACCTGTGAGGTGGCATCATGTGGTTGATTGTGTCCATTTAATTTTGCATGCACGAGTGAAGGTTTGGCAGGAAAATGTGGGGAGGGTCCTACGGGCGTGCGCTGGCGCGTGGACCGCAGGGTTAGAGAGGGTCTGTGCACTCATTGCACGAAATGCAACTGGCCTACCACACGAGTCGCAACTGGTCTACCACTAGAGTTGCAATTTGTGTACGACTGAAGTTGCAATCTGCTGACGGGCTGAGTTGGAACTGGTATAGAAACGAAGCTGCAACCGGCCGTCCAGGGCAGTTGCAACTGGCCTACCCAACCGGAATGCAACTAGCCTATCACCAAGGTTGCAATTTGTGTACGACAGAAGTTGCAATCGGTTCAAGGGATGAGTTGCAACTGGTATACAAACGATGATGTAACCAGCCGTCTAGAGCAGTCGCAACTGACTACCCAACATGAATGCAACGAGCCTGAGCAGACACCCAGAATCGTGTCCCTGCCGTCAGAATCATACAATCATCATGTCCATTACGGTGCAGCTCTAGCTGTTGGAATCTCCTGTGCTTGAACAGGATTGAGTGAAGCCATCTCTTTGCTGGAGCCTCTTACATTAGACGTCGTTGACTTTGTACGCCAGGGCGCTCTGATTGCCATGGCAATGGTGATGATCCAAACCAATGAATCTAGTACCAACAAAAAAACAACTAGGTTGGCCACGTGCAACAAAAAACAGCCAGCATGCATGCATGGAATTTTTGGTTGGTTCGAATTTTTGGAACAATTTTTCTCTAAAACCGTAACCCTGATTGACATACCGTTTGTTGTGTTGTACTCAGAAAAATATGCTTAGCAAAACTAGATCTAATATGTGTATATTTTTTTATCTTTTAAACGAGTTGCATATCTGTGTACTAGCGATTGCAACTTTGTCTACTATCGAGTTACAACTAGTTATAACTCGGTGTATTATTTACATCTGCTCACTATAATCACGTCAAGTTGCAATTATATCTGGTTGCATCTGCTCACTATTCAGTAGGAGTTGCAAGCGTATCTGGTTGCAATCAGTGTAGTAATTGTGTTGCAACAGAATAGTGACTAATTGCAACTAGAAATAACTGGGTTACACCAGGTTATAACTAGATGCAAGTAGTGCTACTTAGGCTACAACCAAGATGCAATTATGTTGTAGTTGTGCTTGCAACTCACGCTATAACACAGATGCAACTATATACTTTTATAAAAAACTTCGTCAAATATAGCTTTCATGGATCTCGTTTTGTTAAGCACATTTTTTCCAACAACCTAGTTCAAACGGATTTAAAATTGGATCTGTCGTTTATGAGATATCGTATTTTTTCGTTTCGAATTAAGAAAAGATTCATTGCATGCATGCTTCCTGGTTGGTGGGTTAACCTGTGATGTGGCATCACATGGTTGGTTGCCTCCATCTATTTTTTGCATGCACGAACGTAAAGTTTGTTAATGTGAGGACCAGCTGCTGTGCGGTACGCGTGGAGTCTGATCCGGGCTGGTACGTCTCTCGCTCGCCGCTCACGCTCGCGGTCGGGTGCATTTACTGCACAGAATGCACCCAGGTGCATTTTAGCCTCATATATATATATATACATACATATATATATATATATATAAGTATATTCAGTAGCCAGCTATAAAATAAGTTATTCTGTAGCCACCTCCATTTACGATAATTTTATATACTAATTTACAATAATGTTAATACATATTTACGATAGTTGTGTTACTATAACACATAGGGATATTTACCATAACGTTATAGTAAACCACTTAGTAAGGAGTTACTATAATCTCGTAAATTAACATAGTAATTATCGTAACTCAAAGTGGCTACAAAATAAGATAGTAGTTCTCTCTCTCTCTCTCTCTCTATATATATATATATATATATATATATATATATATATATATATATATATATATATATATATAAGACAAGTAAACTTAAACATTTTACACATATTTTTTTAACGATTATTAACTCTCATAAAAAATAATGTTGCTAACAAAGATCTAGAAAACTATAAATGTTTAAAGTTATGTAGAAATGATGTATAAATAAAAATAAAATCCACCATTATTATTCCTAATTAAAAAACCACATATTTCTATGCTTATTACTAAACCATGAAATGATCTACAATATTAGCAATGAAAGATTAGAAGATGAAGTTGCTAACCTTTAGAAGATTGAAGATGAAGCCGGCGGCCGAGAGCAAGAACTTGCTCCCCCAAGCAAGAACACGGATGAACACACGCGCACAAGCAAAGACCAAAGATTTGACCGCCTGTGTCTTGGGCTGGGGGGACACTGGAAGTGGGTATATATAGGTGGGACCTTTAGTCCCAGGTGGTGGAGCCTACTGGGACTAAAGGATCAATCTTTAGTCCCGGTTGGAGCCAAAACCCGGGATAAAAAGCCAACGGGCCTTTGGTACCGGTTGGTGGTTCGAACCGGAATTGAAAGGCGACCTTTAGTCCCGGTTTATACCACAGACCGAGACTAAAAGTCCCTGCTACAAAAGCCCGCCGCACTATCCGTTGGGCAGAGGATTCTAGTCTCGGTTGGTGGTTTCAACCAGGACTAAATCTCCTATTACTCCCGGACTAAATTCCGGCCGGGACTAAAGCCAAAAACCGAAAGTCTGTTCTCTACCGGTGGTCCCTGAAATCTAAATATACAAACTCAAAGGATTACATATATTCATTTATTCTTCTCTTGGTAAGGTCGATACAAATCATGTACTAGCAACAGAAGAAATAATTAACTTGGTCTCCTGTATGTATATATACATCATATACATGTGGAGCTAGCTACCAAAGCTAGCTCACATGTCATTTTTAGTTTATGCGCATATATATATATATATATATATATATATATATATATATAGAACTACTATCCTGTGGCTGGCTACAAAATAACTTATTTTGTAGCCACCTTGAGTTAAGATAATTACTATGTTAATTTACGATATTATAGTAACTCCTTACTAAATGGTTTACTATAACGTTATGGTAAATATCCTCATGTGTTATAGTAACCCAACTATCGTAAATATGTATTGACATTATCGTAAATTAGTATATAAAATTATCGTAAATAGAGGTGGCTACAGAATAACTTATTTTGTAGCTGGCTACTGAATATACTCTCCCTATATATAGAACTACTATGTGAGACCGTGTATGTAGAATATAATATATATATCTACTGTGTGTAAAATCAATCTATACAGGAATAGAAGGCGAGCTAATTGTGGTGGCCGATGCCGGGGCTCGGAACCGATCCCTCGACGACCTGGATGATCCGCCTGCGGTTAGCGGTGGCGATGTCAGCCTTGTTCTTGGCCAGTTGAAGAGTCGTTGACGAAGCCGCGAACACTCGAAGCATATCTTGGGAGATCGACGATGAAGAAGAACCAGTGCTAGCACTGCTCTCCTCGGCATACACACGTGGATGATCACTTGGCATCATCCTTGCGTGCACTTGAGACTGTGCTGATGCCAACCGGAGCAAGGATAGGATCACGATGGCAGCGTGTGAGGTAGCCATATATGGTTTAGGTGACAAGTTAATGTGATTAATGGCGGAGGCTACAAGAGAGCGTTTTGGCTGTTTGTGAGAGACTACTATGAGCGCGGCTGAATGAACTGCTATGAGCTTGGATGCAATGAGAATGTGAGCAACGGAGCCATGTATTTATAGGTGATCGAGGACGGAAGGGCCGGCGGTGGCCAGCAAGTGTGTCGCTGCGTGGCGGTGACAAGCTTTGTGGCTCGGTCAAAATTAGTGGAGTGTACACATCACCGTTACATTCGCCCTATAAAGTTGTCCAACCAAAGTGTACTATTTTGAGCACTTATTTGCCTCTTTAGTTTTCGGCCAAAGAGTTTTGTGAGAGTGTTGCTGGCTCGGGCTACACGCAGCGTGGAAGCTTGCCGCGTGTGCATATATATGCAGCTCGAGCTTCCTCTACTTTTTTTTTGGGCATATACATATTTAGGAGGCGTGTTGTGGAACATTAACTGAGGTTACTGATAAACTATAGACAAAAATAATAATAAATAGTAATCTGCTAAAAAATTGCTCTAAGCGATCACGAACGAAGACGTGTCGAAGTGAAAGCCCCAGGGATTATTGAACGTAAATCTGTCCATGAACCTGTGCAAACATGCTTAAAAGCAGTGGATAGTCTGGTTCCTATAGGCCGTGGTCGATCAACGAGAACTTATAATCGGGGACTGACAAACTGGAAAACCAGCAATAGCTGTCAATACTATATTAGACCAAAAGCAAATGAACTCAAGGGGCACATATGAGAGTGAGACATTGTATCGTGTCTATGTTGTGATTGGACAAAAAAGCTCGAATGTAGCACAATTAGTTTAAATTCGAAGCGAATACTTTGGAATATTCCATTCTTGTTGCAGCCACCGCTTCGGATCCAGCTCCTCTGCAATTTCCGGGAATATTTGCGCGATAATGGAATGCATGCATTAAAAAACAAATATTACTATTGATTTTTAGAAACTCCTGCAACTTTTACACACAATTGATATAAGAAATTGTTCCTGTAACTATCTAGCTGCCAGCTCTAGAAAATCAACTTTCTAGAACGATTGTGTTAACACAAAAATTTGGAACGGTATACAGGACCTCGGATTTCGGGATTTGTTGAGAAAAGCCAAAATATCTGCACAATCGGCTAATTAAAATATGTCAGAGTCGGTTGGATTGTATGACGTCATCATCTCGAGAAGGGATTTGCCGTTAGAAGATGGCGGTGATCAGAAGAGAGAAGACAAGTCGGACTTTGTAGAAGAGAGAGATTGAAGTCCTAAGTTATCTTAATTTATGATGTTTTACCTTCTTTTCCAAATTTTGTAGCTCGTCTTGTTCGACCTAAGACTTGTAGTTGAGCCTCGGGTATAAATATTGAACCCCGGCTATTGTAATGGACATCCATCGATCAAACACAAACCTGTACATTTACTTTTTTGGCTTACGCCAACCCTAGGAGTAGGAGTAGAGTAGATCTCGGCGCGTTCTTTGGGCAAGCAGGGCTGTATCGGTTTGGCCGACCTCCAGTTTGTTTGTGAGTACCGTCATGACTTATATTATTACTTGTAAAGCTGTATCAGCTGACTCGATCTCTTGCGAGTTGTAGTATAAGTTAGTTATATCAATCTATATTGTTATTTGTAAGGTTGATCTCTTACAAGTCGTGGTATAGATTAGTTATTGATTGATATTGTTATTTGCAATGCTGCATCAACTGATTGATCTCTTGTAAGTTTTGATATCGATCAAAGTTATCCATATTGTGTTAAATAGTTTACTATTTAATATAATATCACCAATTATCCGATCTAGATCAAAATTTGTTAGTCTTCATTATATTGATCTATCGTCTGTTGGCTATTTCACACTTGAATTCAATCTTTGACGGTAGATCCTGTTTATCGACTAATTGATCTTGATCTTGATCAAACATAGTGAGTATTCGGGGTCGTGTTTTATTAAAAGATAGATTCATTGATTATCATTCTTCGATTTACTGACTTCATTGTCAATGTTGCATCAGCTGACTCGACCTGTTGGTAGTGCACTAAATCAAATATTGTTGATTAATAGGTTTATTTACTAATAAAATATGATATCATTCATTCACTATGTTTCTATCGGCTGTTTAGCCGATAGTTTGGGCTTTCATGTGTATAATGTGCTTTCATGACTCTATTGAAATATGAGTAGATCTCCAGATTGTTAGCCACTGATCTAGGGCTCTATTGTCAATGCCGTATCAGCTGATTCGACTTGTTGACAGTACAATAGATTGAGTTTAGTTAGTTTGTAGATTTATTTATATCCAATGGATGAGCGTTTGCACACTCCTGTGTTTTCGAAGCCCTGGGAGATTTTGGGACCTGCTCCACACAGTTTCTCCTGGCTTGCTACGTGAACGACGCGGCTGACACGTTTTCACGTCGACAGATTGACTTAATAAAACTACCCCTAAAATTTATGTATTTTTAGAGGCGATTAAATCGCCCCCTAAAAATCTACTTATGTTTAGGGGTGATTGACGTAGAACAACTATGGTGATTTCTTATGCAAACCGCCCTTGAAAATGGGTAATCGACTCTCAAGTCAATTGCCCTAAAAATAGCTGCCAAACAAATAAATTTATAACTTTTTCAATGAAGTTGCATGAAGACAAAGTTTATACCAAAACTTTAGAGCTCGATAAGATGTATAACATTGTAGTTGACGACCTTCTTATTTGATATCATTTGGAGGCCCAAATATTCATTTTAAGTTCTGAAATTTTAAAGTTCATTTTTAAAATTTCAGACGACGTTAGATGTAGACACATCCTATACCTAAGTTATAGTAATCAATGAGATCTAAAACTTTGTAGCCGAAAGGTTTTTCATTTAAGATAGTTTAAGTGTCAAAATATTTAGATTCATGAATGTTAATATACAAAAAGATAGATCTTATATATGGTTATAAGGATAGTCCCAATGTAGAAACTATGAGCCGTTTTCATAGTCGACCAAGAAACTAGTTTTCCCAAAGTAGCTTTTCTGCTAGAGTGCAAATACAAATCTGATCAATCATTCACCAGCTCCGTATCCGGATCCTCTGCACCCATGGCCCCGTGGACAAGCCTGTGCTCTGTATGCACCATGAACTCCGTCAAGTACTATGCTCATTCGGTAGGTATAAAGCAGTGGCTATGGCTGCAGTGTTTTTCTTAGCAAAGCACTATGCTAACAGCCGCTGTGGATTAAATCAATATGCAGTGAACATGACTACATCCTTGACACAGATCCAGAAGGAGTGAAAGTGCAATCAAGCCTTAATTATGGGTTTTGTTGATAATGACCACGCAATTAGAGAACTAATAAGATTCATCGAGATGACAAGCAAGGAATTTATATTCGAGGATGCTACACGAAACGGAGGAGTCCCCAATTACAAATATAGATGGCTTCAAACTCAAACGAGATTTAAATTCTTTTATATTTTGAATTTGATTATAGGAAAAGCCGTACTATAAAGGGGGACACAATGCTTAAGCTAATATATGATACCAAGTGCTCAAACAACCACTTGCATCCTCAGATTCACAGCTAAGACAATCTACACTTTACTATTACCCTTGTTGTCTTGCGTGGTGCAGCACTGCCGTACTTGAAGAGAGGCACTGCCGCAATTGAGTCGCGGCACAAGGAAGTTAGCGGCCACGTTGACTTCCCCATATGGCTCGAGACGTATTAAAAGGTCTCACCCGATCTCAAGGTCGCGGGCTCCATCTCGCCCGACCTCGAGGCCGCGGGCTCCGTCTCGCCCGACTTCGAGGCCGCGGGCTTCGTCTCGCCCGACCCCAAGGACGCGGGTTTCGTCTCACCCAAAGTCGCGGGCTCCGTATCGCCCGACCTCGAGGCCACGGGCTCCATCTCGCCTGGCCCTTTGGGTGCGGTGACCGTTGGGGGTAGGGGGTATATATACCTTTCCCTTTCCTCCGCAACGGCTCTCTGCCTCTTCTTCCTCACTTCAGCACGCCCAAAACAGAGCAGGAGCTCTCTCTCTCTCTCCCTTCATTGTTGACCTCAAGTCCCCAAGCAAATCCGTTGATTTCCCCATCAATCCTTGAGGGAAATGGGTCCAAAACTCGATTAGAGAGCAGCTTCATTGATTCCCCAACTCTAAAGAGCACTTGATTCACGTTTTGGCCGGCGGTTGTGTGTTACTCTTAGAGCTTGGCTCCTAGCCGGCTAGAGCATCGTTCGTGGAGCTTGCCAACTTGTTTGATAGCCCCAGGAGGTTTATAACCATCTCTTGAAGTTAGTAAACTCACCCATCATCTCAAGAGTTAAGTCTCTTAATTTGAGAATGAGAAAGGGTTGGAAAGCCCTAAGCCTTAGTGGCTAACCTCAATAACATGGAGGTAGGCAAGCCTTGGTGGTGAGCCGAACCACGGGATAAATCATTATGTCACTTGTGCTTGATTTACATTACTTGCATGACATATTGTGGTTGAGGTGATTTCTAGGGTTTCTAGTCGATCTACTTGTGTGTGGTGTTCCTACCACTTCTAGCTCTTGATCTATGATTGTCATACCTGCAGTAAGCTAGAAAATTTCTCCGATCTAAGTTTTCGTTCACGGATTTTGAACTGTGATTCGAAGTTGTCTGCGGGTGTGGCAGAGCCGCTGTTCTGGCCCGGCAGTGCCGCAGTCCGATAGTGCCGCCCTCCATAATGGTAGTGCCGTAGGGTGAATTTGATAAAAGTTTGAGTGTTTATTTTGATAGGCCTATTCACCCCCCTCTAGGCCAACCAGAGGTCCTACAAGTGGTATCGGAGCAGGTTACCTCATATACGCTTCACCGCGTGAGGTATGGAGCCTGGAGGAGAAACTAGTGGCGTGAAGCAGGTGGATGTTGACACGGACAATAGCGAGCTGAGCGCGTCGACAGCAAGCAACACCACGCTACCACATCTTGAGGCTACCGATGCCGAAGGAGCTCTCAATGAGAATGCG